CACACACACACACACACACACACACACACACACACACACACACACACACACACAGACAACAACAACAACAAAGATTAATTACGAGGGCCTGGATGTTGGATCAGCAGCCAATTATCACCTGAGGAGAGTCAGTTGGCCTCAGTCAGTTGGCAGCTATCCTTTCCTCTTCTCACACTTCTCCTGAAATCAGCCGCCCGTCAGCCCCAAGCAAATTGGATGAGGAGCCATAAAACAAATTTTCACCCAAATACAAAGTGACAACAAATCTGGGATGGCAGTAATAAACTCTAATATAAGAAGAAGACTGAGGGATGAAGGATGCTGCCTTGTCAGTACATTAAAATGAGAGTGGAGGAGCACGAGAGAGAGAGAGACAAGTGATCTGTTTAAACTTCATAAATGCAGGGAAGGTCCTCTGTGTTTTAGTGGCGGCTGCTGGCTAGTTCCATAAGAACCCCTGGGGCACCCGTGCTCTTATTCATACCGTCAGAGATTTTTCCTAGCTGATGCGGGAACACCAGAAAATAGTTTGAACGGTGAGGATAAGTGATTGTGCTCGCGGAAGAGCAGAAAGCGCAGCTTAAAGAGAGACAGAAGAGGTGATGGACACACAGAGAGACCGACAGACAGAGAGTTGTGGAGGGCATTTCATGTAATGTTGATTTCAGTGAACCCAGATTCGCCTCTCACCAGCGGCCTGACCTCCTCTGACTTGGATGATCCTCGTTGCCATGGAAACTGGCAAAACAAGTGTGACACCCCACCACCACCAGCACATCTGAGTGATGAAAATGAATGTGGCCCCAGGATCAACACGCAGCCATATTGGCAAAAAATCAATACTTTTTCCCCCTCTGTCTTGCGTCGGTCCAGTAAACTGTAACATATCAATCCATATGTGCGCACGCTCTGCACTAATCCCACCCCCCACCCCTCTGTTTGTGTGAGTTGCATGTGTGCGTGTGAGGAAGAGAAAAAAAAATGTTGCATTGAACAAAAGCTGCCCAGTGTGTTTGAACTGCTCCATTAAAACAATCTTTGTTTTTGATACAGACAAGGAGAAACAGAGCAAGCTGACTGAACACAGACTGCATGTCAGTCTAAGATTGAGGGGTTTTTGTTGTTTTGTTTTGCTTTTCTTTAAATTCTGTTTCTCATTACTGTGCCGAGCCTCAAGCAGTGAGGGGGAAAAAAAAACCCGAACCAGAGCAACTGTGCCTGAGCCCAGGGGCCCCCAGGAGCCACAGGGGGTCCCTACTTTGATGGAGGCCTGAGCATCATTAGAACAGATAGCATGATGGGGTCAGAAACACAGTTACTGCTGCACTGCTTCTGAAGACTCCTAGCACCACTCTTATTGACAAACACACCAGACACCAGAAAGTATTTCCATCTAGCTATTTGTTGAATTATGATGTTTCAAAATAGAAAAATATAATGTCCCAATCAAACACCTTCTATGAGAGAACTCCTGTTGAATACTGGCAGCATTGTTGAGATGGCTAGATAAACAAGGTTCAAGCAAAAACCAAAAGAGCAGGACTTTAGAATGGATGGCAACGGACTCGCAGAAAGCACAAATTAATTATGTAACCCATTGAGGTTCTTTCCGAAAGTTCACTGTTCATGAAAAAAGGAATATGGGCTACCTCTGCCTTTATAGGCCTCATAAAAATTATACTGTTGTACTTAAATTTTTTAATAAAGTGACTGAGAACATTTAGAGAGACTGGCATATGTTAATAAGACTGAGAAGAGCAGGCTGCCCAAACAGCATTGGGGATGAACAATCTGGCTCTAAACCATCCCTGGTCCTCAAAGGTCAACCATATTTTTATAATAGCAGCCCTATGGCCAACTCTAAATCTGTCCCTGGGAAAATGGAAGCCATCCAATGAGAAGGTGCAGGAGATAAAATCCGGTACGTGTGCGAGGCATTGTTACGACGCGCTCTTTACAGGTGGGCAGGGTAGAAATATGGGACTTGCGATTCCCTCTGTGTTTTATAGGCTACCTTTAAGTAAATTTCTGCTGTAAGTGTGAAAGCAATAGCAAACGTTAATCCCTTACCTGCACATATATGTATATGTACATATGGGCGACTTATTAATACCTGTTTTGATGATACGATGCTAAACGAACTACTACTGCAACCAAGTTTTTGGATTTAGCTAAAACTCTAAGATGGGAAAAAACAAAACATCTTTGCAAGCATCTGCACAGACAGCATGCTAACGCTAAGCTAGCCAACCCAGAGTAATGATAAAACCGTGTGTATGCTGATCCCAGCTGAGCAGTAAGACCCTGAGCTTCACCAGGTATTCTCTTTGTGATGGTTTCAACTTTGTGTTGTCGACCTTAAACACTAAAAGATCGTCATTAGATAGGGATTCGTATTGGTGTGTGGGACTGTAGCATAAGATTTATTTTGTTTAGTGCATTTCATGTCATTTTACGGAAGACTAAGAAAGTAATGAAACAAATTACTTTCTCCAGAGACTAATAAAGTAATGTACCGCATTACTTTTAAGTAAAGTAACAAGTAATGTGTAATACGTTACTTTTCGCGAGTAACGACCCCAACACTGCTAACACAATATAAGACTTGTGGTTCCCTCTGTGTTTTATAGGCTGGCTTTAAATTAAATTTCTGTTGTGAGTGTGAAAGCAGTAGCAAACGTTAGTCTCTTAACCGCACGTGAACGGCTAAGGACACAAATCTCTGTGTGCACATCGTGCAGTGAAACGTAAAAACTGCTTTCCATTTTTGCCCTCAAATGAAAAAAAGGAAAAAAAAACATAAATAAAGGGACGGCTCAAATAACGAGAATAATAGGTTTTATTTAAAGTTGGCAACAAGCCTCGACAATATTCCCTGCGACACACACATGCATGAGGTGGGGGTGGGTGAGAAAGAGAGAGAATTACACAGAATACCATTCCATGAAAAAGCCAAACAAATAATTTTTGCAGTGCTGGAAGCATAGAGGATCCTGTTACAGCGAAAATATAGTTGAAAAACAAACAACAACACCAAAGCTGCAGGTTGGTGGTAGTGTTGGTAACTCCTATATCCTCTCAGCAGAATTAATAGATGTTATGCTATGCCAAAGTTAGGCTGAGGGACTGGAAGTATTCCTGTATTTAAGAAATAATAATTCGTTTTTAATATATTGAAATTTTAATGTAATTAATTTTATTGGGATACCATCCTCTCATGAGCCCACTTTACCCTTGATAATACCACCCAAAACTGCCCATTTGTCATATGAAGCTGCACTACTGAAATCAGTCTTACAGTTTTAAAGCTTGATGTGAAATGACTAAAAGTCATATCTCTTTGATTTTCTCTTATCTCTCCTCTGCCATGGAAGTGTAAAACGAAACCCCGGAGCTTCGTTTTGTCCTGTTTCTCTGTGTTTGTCATTTATAACAAGGTTGTGATCATAACTAACGGCGCGTGTAATATTTTTCTTTCAACCTTGTGATGCCAGAGAATGTAAATCTGCTGTACATGTAAGGATCAGTAGCAGAGCTGCACTTCCTGGTGCCTATCAAAGGAACTTGATTTCCCCGTGGGATGCGGCAACGATGATGAGGGATAGTCGTCAAAAAAACGAGTCACCTGTCAGTCTTTATGTCTGCTTTTCTTCTTCTTACTGTTGATTTCAAAAGCTGATGTGAACACCAACTGGAAATACCAGGCAATGAATGATCAAGTTTGAAAGGAAAGCTCGCTACCAACACTGTGCAAATTTGGGAAAGCAACACATCCACAAAACTCTTTCATCACATTTTCTTAAATTGCACAAAACAAGTGTAATCACTCACTAATCAGTAAATAGGTCATCACAGCGCATAATAAACATCAAAACAGAGATACATAATAGTTCCTCAGTTGTTGATACTTGACTTTTAGGATCATCTGACTTATCTGTTTTTATTCCCCAGGTTGAAAATATGTTGGATGTTGATGTCCAGGCTATCGGGATCTCTGAAGAGTTTTCTGTGCGCCCATATGTGTGTGTGTGTGTGGGCTGTGATGAGACCCTGTCTCTGACACAATGTTGCTCTGTTAAGGTCAAGCCCTACAGAATGTCAGGGATGATGACACGCACTGAAAGGTTTCATCTAATCCCTCCATTTCCCCTCTTCTCCTGCGTCCCTCCAATCTGTCTACCCAGCTTCCATCTCCGGCCCCGCTCACTCACAAGACAAGACAGACATACACTGGCCTTCACCTACAGTCTGCATCAAAACTCTTCGTGGCTGTGTTTGTCCGCGCGCGCGCGTGTGTGCGTGCATGTTTGTATGTGTGTGTGTTTAAATAGCGTCAAGCCATGCCATCCCACTAGTAAGGCCAAATCAGAAATGCCTGAGGCCACTGTCTCTGTGTCTGCATGGCTTGCCTGGTCTTTACAACCCGCTGTCAAACATCTTTGCTTCATTCCTCACCAGCAACACATTTACTTATCTTTTTTAGGTCTTCAGCTTATGCTTTAATATAGTGGGGGCCTGCAGTGGAATAACCGGCGGTGGCAAACAAATAAATGTACGAGAACTAAACTTACTTTCCACGTGAAACACTGAAGATTAAAATAATTACAGAAAATGTTTTGAAGTGAGAGTAGAAATTGAATTTATTCCACATTTAGAAGTCAGCAGAGGGTCGAGATCCTTTTTAATGCCAAATGTTTTGCATTTGGGGGCATTTATGTGACGCTCTCGCACAGATAACAGGTCAGTTCTGACCTCTGACGTGCTGCAAACATTACCATAGTCCACACTGGTTTCTTTTGCAAAAGGCAGGCAGCACGAGTAATCCTCCGTTATTTCAATTATTCTCATATCTGATCCCTCCAGATGTGTTTGAAATACTAAACTTTAATTCCAATTCTATTCAACTTTACAAAGTGCTCCCTGTGACAGTCTTTAGTTTCATGTGAAAGCAAATCTAATTCTGTTATTTCTAAACAGTGTCAAATGAATTCAATTAAGCTGCCATGGAAAAGAATGTTATTTACACCTTATGAGATTACCTGGACTTAATTTCCTGGGGTTTTAAATAATTGACAAACAGCATGCGCGTACTTAACTAAGCCTCATATTATGCGCACAGTTGAACATGTCATCATTTAATCTTAATGCTTTTTACTTCAACATTTTCCCTCCCTTTTTTCTCTCTTTTTTTCCCTCCCGCTCGCTTGGCCGCACCATAGTTAACACTTATTAAATTAGCAGTCATCCAGTGATCAAACAACAACCCTTTTCCATCTAGGCGGCTGAATGACGGCTGAGGTCTCCTCGGCATCTGGTGAGACGCCTAGTTTAGTGGAGATAAGCACAGAAGCCGTGCTAATTATGATATTACAATTCCAGCAAACCGTTTTTCTGAAAGCGGCGCAGTTTGGATTTAACACTGGTAAGCAAAGAAACATTGTTGGATTCAAGATGCCTGGCTTCCCCTGCACCTTCTCAAACTGTCATTTATCCTCACATCTCTGCGGATTGGGTCTGGGAAAACGGAGGAATGGCGGAGATGGAGAGAGCCGAGGGAAGGGGGGGAATGAAGGATTATATAAAGAAGAAGCAGCACTTGACGGTAACTGGCTGAGATTAGCGCCTTAGGGGTACAGCAGTGGCTGTGATTTTGATACTGCGCCCCCAGCTAAACGCTGAAGGCCGCTTTGCCTAGAGGAGTCTGCCTTCACCCACAGGCAGTCAAAGATTGTTTTCTTACCAGCATCTCCTCCTCCTCCTCCTCCTCCTCCACTCCACAGACACCTGTCATCTCCGATGTCAAAACTCCACACAGAAAGGAAAAGACAACGCAAAGAATAAACAAAAGAAACATGTTTTTTTTAAAGGCACACTCTGCATACAGATCTGCGAGGGTGAGGCCCAGGCTTCACCTGCAGCAGCCCGAGCCGAACGTCATGAGGACCCTACCGGCTCCACGCGGTGAAGCCTAAATGACGGCATCATTCTTTGTCATCTGTAAGCGCGAGCTGGAAATTAATTTAGCACCAGAAAAACTTTGATGCTTGCACTTGAGTCTGAATTCGCTCGACTTCGTGCTTTGCACTCTGCACAATAGCTGGCAAAGAACAATTCTAGGCAAGGCTTTACTTTCAAATCATGATCTATAACAACATCCTTTCATCTTTTCACAAGACTGCCACTCAAGAGGGCTACAAAATTGTTTATGGTTTAAAACTGTCCTAACATGTACCTACAGCACAGTTTCCTGCACTATATAGATTAAATGTGAATGAATTTAGGACTTAAAGCTCAGTTCAGAGTTATAATTTATCCATATTTCTCATCTTTCACTCTAAAAGGATTTTCAACCAAACAAACAAATCTCTCTTTATAAACTGTCCGTTTGTGGACCAGCCGAGCTAATCATGAGGTCAACGTATTGTCATTTGGTTTGTGTGATAAATGCTGTAAAAGCGAGGGTAGCCAGACATCATCAGTGTAGACAGAACATTAAGATGCTCCAATTAGCCTGATGAGATAATCAGACTGAATTGCCATTTCATGAAGAAATCAGATATTTGGCAGCGAGCTAGAGGTCTGGGTCCAGGCTTCTGTGAAGCGTTTGAGTGGACTTTTGCGGGTATACTTCCTTTGTTTTCCCCTTCATATAGAGAGAGGGCGAGGAGAAAAAAAAGGGATAAAATCTAATTTGAACTCATGCTGGCTGAGGAAAATTATTTTTATCAAATCCACTGTGAATGACCTTTGCCACCTTGAGCAAACACGGCTGCCTGAGAAATAGTAAACTGATCCTGGTGTGAAGTGGCCCTTGTTGTCCGTGTAGTTAAGCAGAAGTATGAGATGACGTGACACTGGCAGCAGTGCCAGGCGGTGTTGTTGCAACCAATGGGGGGCAGAGGACACAACAGAGAGTAATGGCTGCTACAAGCCATCAGCCCTCACACAGATAAAAAAAAACACAAACAAAAAAAAACAAAACACCGCCACATTTCATCTGCCCTGTTTTTCTCCATTTTAATTCCTTCTGTTTGTTTGTTTGTCGACCTTGCCATGTCAGCTGACCTTCCTCTGTCCAGGACCCTGAAGAGAGAGGGGAAGGGGGGGAAAAAAAGAAAGAGGAAACAATAAGCAAGACGCTGACATTTCTGTACAGAGAAGGAACAAACAGCTCATACAAAATGCCCCCCACTCCCCTCAGACAAATTTACTCAAAAATATGTGTGTGTCTTGAACGTCCGAGGGCTGTCCGGCTCTCAGCCACCATTGCCAAGGAAGTGTCACGGTGTCGTGACAACTTCAGCGACTGCAGTGCGATGGGTGACCCTCGGCCGGCAGAAGGGGGGCGCTGAATCCCCCGCCCACCCTGGATCCTGACAGATGTCATATACCTCCTCCATGGGCACCTTCTGTTTCCTGTTCACCTTTCTCCATCCTGCAGCGTTAGGGCTCCTGTCTCCACCTCGTCAAAGCACACACACGCGCACACACACAAAAAGGGGGGAATCAGACAAAGAAGGAGACATAAACTTGACCGGGATGGATTTTTAAACGATGTTTCTGGATTGACAGCAGATGATTATGACAAGAAGCAGTTTCCATCTCAGTTCCAAGTTACATTCCCATCATCTGTTTGCCCCATCTATTTATGCTTTTTTTTTTTAACCATTTGCTTTTTACTTTACGTTAAAAAAAAAAGGCAAATATGGATTCCACACTCCCTGGCATTCATATCGCCTTCTCAGAGGATGTTTCCTGTTATTTACCAAAGGCTTCTCTCTGAGAACAGTTGGTATTTTAGTCTTAGCACACCCCACTCAAAACCTGTTTGCACAGATTTTCCCCATCATCCTTCAGACCATAGTTTGACAGAAACACTTCAACAAAATGAGATTCTGCCTCGTTACATTGTCTTATACTGTTACATCAAAAGTGTCACCAGCCCACTCCACGAATAACAAGTCTAACAAACCAAAAAGCCTTATGATATTAGATTTCCATAAACCTTCTGCTGGCTGCCTCCTCGCGTGGATTGTGTATCATCCGCTCAAAAATGCTCTCCTAGATGGAAATGTGTGGACTAAATCTGATCATGGCGCTAGATAATGTTCACTTCTCACTGCTGAAACACAGACTTGAGGAGGAAACGGAGGGGATCCTGTGACTAACCCATCAATCACGGTGACGTTTCGCTCAAGTGATGGATATTCTAATTTCCCTTTTATATACAGGTGCGCAGGATGGATGGATGACGATTAATGGACGGGCAAGGCTGTTTCCACAAAACAAAGAAAAAGACGTAGCATGGCCCGCGGCGTCGCTATGGAGGACAGAGAGCTGTACTTCCCTCTGTTTTGAAGACGATACTTCACATTTGGGATTTGATGTCCCTGTAAACACGCAGAGACAAAGTATACATCCCGAGGTGACAAAGGTGTTGCTAACACAACAATTGCCTTCCCTCTACAGGGACCTACAACAGGTTCTGCAGTCAGTTCTGTGACAGCCCTCGACACCTTCGCCTCACCTCATTTTCACACAACCTGTTTCTCGCTTTCTGTCATTGCTATCACCTCCATAATTATTCCTTAACTTTCACTCCGCCTCAGACTGCTTAAGACTGTAATTTCTTGAAAAACTCCTTCAGCATCTCTTCCAGTGGGGGGCACTTATCTATCAAACTTTTCAAAGTGAAAATTGTGCTAAACGTCCTTTTGGTGAAGTCCTCTTGCATCGCCCTGAAAGTCTCATTCTTACTTTCCAAGCACAGTTTTTTAAAAAAAAAATTCTTTCACTGTTAGGCTTTTAAGCTTGCACATCTTTCATATCGGACTTGCCGTTTATCTGTTTTCTTAGACCGCACCCACCATGCTGAAGGTGTTTCACTGCACTAATTGGCCAAAGTCATGACTGAAATAGAGTTAAACTAACCAGGAGACTAAAAAAAGAAAAGAAAGGAAAATACAAACTCTTAAAATTAAACTTTGCATAAAAAACAGCAGAACAGCATTTCAGATGTATTACAAATGTTAAAAACTGGTGTTTTCACTGCAATGAGACAAAATAATTTGCATTCATTTCTGCAGATCAACTATTTCACTGGGCTATTTTGCACCGACTTTGCTCATTTGATGGCTTTTTGTCGGACGTCAGCTGCGAAGCATTTCCCCGGTGGGTTCTAGTTTTTCCCTTCACAGCTGACATTGAACATGGGCATTCATAAACCATCCAGCACTTGAGACTTTTCCTAAGACTTAACAATCCAGCCTGAGATCTCTCTTCCAGCTCTGTCCTTCTACCTCTAGCTCACTTTATCTCTCGCTTTCCATCCCTCCCTCCCTGTCCAAAGCTGTCCTCCCAGCCATCTGTCATGTGATGTTTATAGGCCCTTTTGCTTTTGTGTCCTGATGACCACTGTCACAGAGAGCTACCCATTACCGATGCGCCCTGATGAACGATGTTACCCAGACGCATCGCTGACACCCTTGTGTCCTTGGCCGCAGAGATGCTGCCTCACTAGCCAACTCGGGCCAGTAAAGAATGAGGACGGGGAGGGACCTGGGGGAGCTGGGCTGAGGACCTGTCCGTCATCACACCGACAGGGTGTTCATATTTCCCCTTGTTCCCACCGCCATCTTTTCTTTTCCTCTTTATCCAGCCAATAGAAATGTGGGGCTGGTCAGCCTGGTGACGATGTTGCCATTAATCCTGCAGTGGTGAATAGCGCCCTTGCCTTTCACCTGAATGTATATCTACATCTGAACAGACCCAGCGAGGGACCCTCACTCCCCTCCTGAGGCCACAAAAGATGCCCCGAAGGGTCAATGTAGGCAGAAAGACATGATGAATGTTACCGAGTGTGATTTTATCTGTCAAATAGAAACATTAGTGCTCGTTTTGATCTTTTATGCACTATGTTTAAAGGTGGCACAGTGTATTAGAATAATGTTTTATTACACTGCTATGATGGTTATAAATTAAAACTGTTCCAATGTTTTTTTTTAGTATTAAATCATCATTGTTAAAAATGTGTGCTTTTTTTTGAGTTGCTCTTGAACTTGACCACTAGCACACAATTATCATTTGTCAAAAGTTACCTTGGTTACCATGCTTGATCTAAAAGCTTTTGGTTGTCCAACTCGGTGCTCTTTATTTAGGCAAAAATGTTCAGTTCAGGCAAAGCTTTGTGTAAAATATTTGTGCACGTCTAGTTTATGATATAAACATTTTAGCGTGAATTATGTGAATTGAACCTCACAAAGCGCAGTAAATGGAAATCATCTAAATCAGTTCAGTGTTTCTGCCTTTTAAATGATTCTACCTGGTGTTTCGAGGCTTTTGGCAGGTACGTTGCTGGAATCCTCTGGGAGAACTTGCAACAGCTCTTATGTGGATTTAGGATGTCTCAAAGTCTCTTCATGTAACTACACACAGACGATTTTGAGATAAGGGCTCAGTGTGTAGAGTCTGTGCCATGTTTTGCAGGAGGCTGTCATGGTTTGGGGTTTTCATTATGGGTCTGGATCTTGTTTTCATTTTGTTTTTGTGTATTTATAGTCCTGTCGTTTTTTCACTCTTTGTGCCCCGTCTTTGTGTCTCTCCATTTCTACCAGTTTCCTCCTGTGTTGGTGGGTGTTAACTCTTTGCCCCTTTTGCTGCATGCTGTAACACTTCAAATCATCACTCCGCCACCACCGTGCTGGACAGCTGGTATGAGGTGTTTGTGCTGATATGTTGCGTTTGGTTGTAAATTATGGCCAAACATCTCTTCTTTTGTCTCATTTGTCCAAAGGACGTCGTCTAACATATCTTGTGGGTTATTCATAACTAAGCTGTGCTTCCTTTTTTTAGGGATACAAAAGCTTTCTCTTTCCTCAACCTTTCCAAACAAGCTGCACTTTTTCAGTCTTTTTCTAATTCCTCTAACATGAACTTTTGCATTTGCTGACCGAGGTCTTCAGAGTCAGAGGAGTTGCTCTTGGGTTTTTTGCACTTTCCAATTGCACAGTCTGACCTTGCTGGGAAGATTGGCAAGTGTCTCGAATGTTTTGCTCTTGTGAAAAATGTTTTTTACTGAAGAATGATGAACTTCAAAATGTTTGAAAATTCCCTTATAACCCTTCATGAACTGCTGGGCTGCAACGATTAGTTCTCTAACATCATTGCTGATGTATTTCTTCCTCTGTACTACGTTAACACACCTGAATGCTGCAGCAAACTACCAAAACCTCTACTCTTATGCAGGTACTCACACTTTCTAACAATCAGTTAATCAAGTATTTGATTATCACCACCTGGCTGCTACTTAATTTTGCACTTATTTTTTTAACACACTGCTTCTGCCTTTTAGCTTACTTTGTGTTAAATAAAGAATTCTGCAATATAATTTTTTGTAGTTAATCAAAGTTTGTATTTACCTCATTTTAAGACCTGCTAAGATTATTTTTATTATGTCGGATTCTTAAAACCTTTAAAGAGGGTTTCCTTTCTCTCTTGTGCTACCTGGACTGTAGCAAAAGCTTTATTCTCATCACTAAAGAGACTTCAAGGTGATTCTTGTGAGAGCTGTGGAATATATAATATTGGGTGATTTATAAGAATCTAAACCTCTCAGGTGCACTTATTTTTGTATGGTATTATACAGTATCTTTGACATAAAGTTATATGTTTATAGCTATTGAAACATAAACCAGCAGTTCCCAAATCAAAGATCAGAACCTCAGTGATTGTTGAAAAACTTCTAGTACAGAAAAGAATTCGTAGTTTTTTTTTCTCGGCAGACTTTTGTTTGTTCATTTCATTCTAGGATATTTAAAAAAGTCACTTTTCAAAGATTTCAGAAATATTCAAATGAACAGGATTTTTTGAACTCTTCGGCTGATATATGCCAAGTGTAACTTTTGGTCATTAGAAGACATTGTTCCGTATTAACAAGCCACAGTTAAAATGTCACCTCATTTATCATCTAAAACCCATAAGCTTATTTTTTTTATTTATTTTTTCAGGGAGGGTTTGGCATGGAAACCACTGAATCATAGTGACCATACACAAAAAAGATTATCCTTATTAAATGCAGTTGTTTGGAACAGAGGTTAAATGGATAATATGGTACAAAATGGGGAATTCTTAGAGCGGGAAGAAGGCTGCAGATAATCCTTTCACAATAGTGTAACATAATGTGAACAATCTGTTGGACAAAATAAAAACCTCATTTAATCAGTGGGGCCTTCTCTCCTCTTGTGTCACTGCTCCTCCCTTGCTCTCTCTCTCTCTCTCTGAACGTCTTTATTGGCCGGTGAAGCTGCTGATGAATTCTTAAGCAGATCACACTGATAATTGTATTTCATAACTGTCAGTTGTGCGAAGGCTGCCAGTGTGCCCAGGAGCTATTTGTGTCTCACTATGTCCTCCACAAACCTTCCCCCTCTCCCTCCTCCACACTTTGTCCAGCCCCCCCAATCACCAGGGATGTGCTTACTGTCTCCGGCCCCGAATTACTCAATCAGGAGGACACATTTACGGATGACACCTTTATTACAATTAATCACGGGAACTTGATTAAGAAAGTTATTCCTCCCCTTCATTGAGACTTACACAAGTGGTTCTGCTGCATATTGTAATTTATGTCCCACTGAGCTCTCCCTCTGCTGATAGACAGAGAAGCCGACAGACTGCCAGCCATACTGAGACGCGTGTGGACGCTTGTGGGTCTGTGTGCGAGGCTAGGCGCGGATGCGTGCATGGCTACATATCCTGAGACACATGCGCACAGCCACAAACACATCCCCCCTGTCATGCTGTCATGCACAACTCACAGGTTTTGCAAAGAGTTAAAATAAATGACTTTAATTGGCTGTAGAGACGTGCACGCTAAAGGAGACTTGAATATTCCATTTCCCTTTCCTCTTGTCTTTTCTTTTCACTCTCCCTCTCTTTAACACATACCCCCCCCCACCACACACACCGACACACACACACACTTGAATGAAGCCATCTCTTTACCTTTACTCACAGTTCCTGGGTCTGCTGTGGCTAATTAGTTGAGTGGGGTTTTAGGTTTGGTAATTAGGCGGAGGTAGGAGTGATGGGGGCTCAGGGAGTTGGGGAGTTGAGAGGGCCTGACTGACTTGCAGAGAAAGAAACTGGACTGTCTAGATCCTGGCAGCACCGAGCAGCCAGCCAGTGTCCCTTAGGTGCCTGGAGGTAGACTACCATCCCACACTAAAGAGGGTGATGTCTTTGTTATGTGCCACATATTCCAGCAAGAAGAAACTATGAAAAAAAAGAGGATTTAGCAGGGAAAAAAAGGAACAAGAGGGAGACCTTTGAGAATTTTCCTACCCTGAATGTCAGCGTACAACAATAAAATCCGGCACCGCGCTGTTGTCTTGGATGGCAAATTAAAGTGGACTTGAGAGCTACAAAAAAAGTTGTGATCACCGCTAATTAACGTAAAGGTGGAAAAAAGAAGAAACGACTGAACATTTTTATTTCAAACGTAGAGTACATTTAACTTTGCTGAGCTTGTGGCCACCATGGTCACAAGTGACAATTACTCCATAATTGCTGCATCAAAGTGAAACTAAAGCACAAATAGTGAGGAAATATAACATAAGCAGACTGAGTGCACAGTGTTATACACTAAAGACTATATTTGGTTCTCTGCCATTAGCTTAAAGAAGTCAACTTTTAAAAGTCACACCAGAGTAAATATGACTGTAGTAGCAAAAATAGCCCTCAGTGTGCTTAATTTTCATGGATTCAGCTTTTTATTTCTGAATGTTTTCTCCTTAAATGTTACATAGTAGCTGTTGTAGTAAATGTAAAATAAAACTACAATCTTATGCCATCTGAAATGCTACACAGTAGCTAGTACACAAGGTAAATTCCTGGGAATAGATGGCGATCCAATGGAGGCAACACATTCAACTTTTTCCAATGTTATAAATTCCTATGCAATCAGTTTGATAATACTTGCGATAATCAGTATATTACATTTGCATTGCATGCATTACAATGTCATCCGCATTCACATTAAAGGGAAAATGAAGTTTACCCTTCATTCCTTCCATGTACATCACCTATTTAAGTTTGTGTGTTAGTGTTTGTCCCTTCTGAGGAGCAGCAACAAAACTAAAATGAGAGAGACACTTAGCATGATTTCTAATTTCTTGATTTTTTTCTCCTTTCTTTCACCACCTCACAGCAGCCGGTGAATACTTTTCTAGAAGACCTTCACCATCTTTAATGTCTTGTTTACACTCTGCAGTTCCAGGTTGCTTCAATACGATGCCAGTTAGCAGCCTAGGACTGCAACACAATCCAATTAAATAAAGAGTGTTGTCTCTCTAGGTTCCTGTGTTCTCTAATTGGGGCTGTGACTGCTCACTAATCAGTGGAGGTACAGGTAGGCCCCGGAGGACGGCGAGACAGGGCCTCTCCTGTTAATTGAAGAGATGCTACACCCGGCCTCCTCCTTCTCCTCACAGTCCAACATGGATGCACAGGAGTACTGACGCATGCTAAATTCGTCTACGCACCCACGTGCATCATCACTCCTCTCACCTTTTGTGTGGCCGGCATGTAAGAGCTTGCTTTTCTTTTTTCATTTTAACTCCTGAGCAAGCAGTGGTGTTAAGAGGTGACTGGCAGTCATTTAAAGTGTGTTTGCTCTCTTGGTCACTTACGCCTATGCAATTCCCAGTACTTCCATTTCTGCTTTAATTACTGTCCATAAAAAAATCTTTAAAAACATTTTTTTTAAATTGTGCAATCAAAGTTGAACTTTCATGGGTAAAAAATTGTTTTTATTCTGACCCGAGAGGCTTTAGATCACAGATGTGGTGCTTTAAATACTGAATAAATGAGTGCAAAAACGTCACATCCGTGATTTAAGTAAATAATTTTCAACCTAAATTTGTAAGAGCAAGCTACACAAAAACATGGCAAGCATCGACTAGCGTGAGTCATCCAACTCCAACTGTAACAGAAACAATGATTAACATGCACACATATTTTTAAGCAGCTAAAAATAGTTTTTTAAAAAAACAAACAAAAAAACTAACAGCTACTCGGAAAATTGAAAATAACCGTGCACGTAAGACATTACGGGCCTGACTCAAAGCAACAAACATACCTACGGTGTCTCTTGCTGACACAGGCTGTGGCGTACGTGTGAGTGACTTTGAGAGGTGTTCTGACTTGCTCCACTACGGATTCAGAACCGCCTTGGCCTGGTGTGTTTCTGATTTCCTGCACCGTCTGGTGAAGGTAGCAGCTTTGCATGCTGGGGTCACACCTGTAACGTATTTCACACTGGGTTATATTTTGAGTAGCCACCTGGATGAGGAAATAACGTGTTCACGGTGCATGAAGACTACAGCCATCCCTGCCAGGTAGGAACAGGTGTTTGTTTAAAATGACACACAGTGCAGTAATCCAACACGGACTGTTATAAGCATCTCTTGTCCATTTCCTGCTTTTGGAGTGGTTTAACAGTACACTGCTGAAGTTGGGACTCTGAAAACTTTTTTTAAGCTCAATAAGGCTTTCAAAGTTGAAAGAAACACTAAAGTTTTATCTTTGGGTTTTATAAAAATGAGTGCAATGTGATTAAACTTTAAATGGTATTTTTTAAGACTTTGTTGTTTCAAAAAGCCAAATTAAATTTAAAAAAAATGGAAATGGAAAAAAAAAAACGTGTCAAAGGGCATATCGCAGAGCATTCACTATGAGTGATTTTTTTTTTTTTTTTTTTACTCACGGTGGAAGAAAATAATGACATTTTCTAGCCCAACTCCTGGTTAGCTGGACTAATTTTTTTTTATTATGTGCAGCTTCGGGGCATGTGAATGAAAAGATTGATTGTGTGAATGCCGTTTCTGTCAGCCACAAACAGGCAATGAAATGCCAAGCACACCTGGAGCAGCACTCACTTTTGACAAGCACATACCAATGTAAGGCCCTATTAGAAAAACAATGAAGTCTATCATAAAACATTTATGGTAGATAAAGTGCTCGAGAGCGCCAAAAGCAAGCGCATTATGGCAGCAGGTCTAACATGATTTCGGAGGTGGACGGAAGGTGTGGGGGAGGTGAAAAAAACCTTAGCTTTTGTTTCTGAGTTTCAATATGTGGTGACTTTTGATTAGCACACACTTATTTAAAACTTTAAATATTTTATATTAAATTCTGTGCTGAATATATTCATGACTGAGTGCATGTGCACATAAAAAAAGCAAAAACAACCCCAAATCACTTTCCAAAGTTGCTGTATGTTTATTCATGACATTATTTTTAGTTACTGGGCTGTATTATCAGTCATTTTACAAAAATAAAGAGCTTTTCCGTGGTTAAAAATCCTTCATTTTATATATATATATATATATATATTACTGATTGAATCATTGTAATTTTAAGTATGATTTCTTAAGTACATCTACAATCAGTTAAATCACAGCTTGCTATTACTAACAGACGGTGGTGCCACTTCCACCACGACTTTGCCCAGGTTTCTCCCTGCATACATGTAGTCCACTGCCCGGAAAACCGCATCCAAGCCTACAAATTTCCCCTCCTCTGCCAAATCACCGTAATCCACCTCACACACTAGCTTCCCTTTGGCAAACATCTGAATCATGCTACTCAGAGCCTCCCTGTAGTCACCTAAGAAGTGGGGCAAGAAGAAACCCCGAATGCTGGCCGACTTCTGGAGTAGCTTGACTGGTAGCGTTCCTCCTTTGAAAGGTGGGATCCCTGAAGCGCTCTGGTACCCTGAGATGAAGCCAATCACTATCAGCCGGCCTTTATTGGCCAGACTGTTTACTGCGAGCTCTAAGACGCTCCCTCCGACTGACTCATAGACCACGTCTATGCCTTGTGGATACTCTTTCCTCAGGGTCTTAGCCAAGTCTTCAGCGGTGTAGTTGATCGGCCTGTCGCAGCCGATGGATTTGAGGAAACCGGCTTTCTCGTTGGTCGAGCAGGTCCCAATGACATGGCAACCAGCCTGCTTGGCAAACTGCACAGCGAACTGTCCCGTTCCTCCTGCGGCTGCCGTGACCAGGACAGTCTCACCTTTAGCCAGGTCGCCCAGACGTTTTAAGGCAATATAAGCCGTGGCGCCACTGACCAAAAGGGTGAGGAACTCTGGCTTCACCGCAGGAACAGGCACAGCTTCCTTGGCTGGGACCACCGTGTACTCGGCAAACGCGCCACTGCCGAAGTAGGCCACAGTATCCCCGACGGTGTAGCGGGAGCTCGCGCTAAGGCCAAGGCCGACAACCTCCCCAATGCCCTCAAAACCTGCATCAAAGGGAGGCTTCACCGAAGGGTCGTAACGGCCCGCTGAGTAATTAATGTCTGAGGCGTTGATTCCCACAAAACTGAAACACAAGAGAAAAATAATTGAGGATTAAAAGTTAGGGAAATAAACCTGCTACATCAGCATGTGCTGAGCAAAATGGATACATTAACATTGCATTTCAGTTAACGGGGTTTTATGCGGTTATTAGCGTAAGCACATATTTCCTGAAATCCTGTATGAAGGTCAACTTCCTTGTTGTGCAGACGGGCGCGCACAGGGCCAAAACACTTTGGTTTGTTTTGGCAATGAGTTATTTTTTCTCTTTTCCTTCTCTTTGCTCGGAAAGAAAAGTCCTGCACTGACAGGGAAAGGTTTGTATCACAAAACGCATTGCATGATGTCATGATTCATTGTCTTCAGAGACACCCACAACAAACTGCACTTTAAAAAAAAATAAAAATTCAGATAGCTGCTTCTTGCCTCAACATGAAGACGGTTGTTTTCATCTTACTTTTGTAACATGCTGGAAACAAATATGTGAGAAAGGAACGTATAAATAAATCATTTACTGTCTTTTAGAGCGGCACGCACGCTGTGCCTCATTACCGTGCATGTCACACGTGTACTTTGAGCTCCCAGATAATGCTTCTGTGGTTTATAGATGGGTGGCGACGATATAACAAAACGCCTTGGTTTGACTTCTTCACATCTATGGAATCAGTTTCCTCGCAGCGACGTATTATTTTATTATCAAAAAAGGTACAAACTGTTTGCATGTGCATAAACTAGCAAGGCGTCTGAGTTTAAATAACACTCCAAATTAGCAGGGGATCTGTAACAATAAAGTCTCAGTCTGTGCAAGCCTAAGCCCTGGAAAAACTTTTCAAACAGGTAACACAGGTTTGGCCAAAATGCTCTGTTAAATGATAGCAAGCCTAATAATTTGACACTGGTTCCACTGAAATTACAAAATAAGATACAGTGTATTGATAAACGCTATACTTTGGGATAAAAAATAAATCTCTTATTTATGTCTCTCAAGAATTAATGAAAGTCCAGAAAACTACAAAAACTCACATCTTGCAATTTTATACGACTTTTATCTTTTGCATGTGCGTGACCAAATTTTTGTGCACATGTGGCTCAGATAAGATGCTGAGGGACACCTGGACTCTTGGAAGTGAAGGGTTTTAGTACATGTAAAAAAATGTCTGCACGCATTTATTTTTAAAATTTACTCATATATATATATATATAAAAACCTCAGTCTCTTCTTTTCACTGCAGCTATGATTTTTTTTTTAAAATAAAAACCGCTCACAGTCTTCTGTATTTTATATTCCTTTAAAATTTCTCTTACACCGTGCAAAACGGGACAAAGTGTTCTCTGGTTTACTTTCCCCTGTCAGTTAAAACATTTTCCCATGACTGTGATGCATCACTGACACAGACGACCCAGACGGTCAAGGGTCTCGGTGCACCAAGCGACTGTCTTACAAGCTAATAAGATCCTAATGTTGTATGTTTTACACTCAGTCTCGGGGAGGACTGTATTTTATTGGCAGTAAATACAACAGTAAACCCCGAGGTGGACTGATGTAAAGCTGACTTAACATTAAAAACTACATAAGGCGCACACAGCCAGCAATGTTGTAGGAACCTGAAAGCAGAGTGAGGTGGAATCAGAAATTTATGCAGAAATCCAACTATTAAAAAAAAAAGCATTAATGTATGTTTTTTGGCTTTAATTTCATTTATCTGTTACTGTAATAATGTCGACTCTGTTCAAGCACAACAGAGCCTGTACAACAGACTCCTGGATCCACTCTGCCTTCTGCTGCTGTGAATGAAAGAAATGATGCTGCAATTCCAGCGCCGTGTAGCACTCCCATCGCCTTCTCCATCATCTCCATCTCTTGATGCCAGCCTGAGCCCCCCCATGACTTTCTGTTTGCAGGTTGGTGACGTAGAGAGACAGGACAGAGAGAGAGAGAGAGAGAGAGAGAGAGAGAGAGAGCAGGGGAGAGAGAGCGATAGAAGAGAGAGAGAGATGCCGAGATGGATTGATAGACAAATGCAGAGAGGGCGGAACTTGGAATTACAGTACAGCGCTTATTCCTCACGTATTTTTCCATCTTGTGGCGATGATGATGATGATAATGATGAGGGTGATCGCAGGTGCTGGACATGGGTGATTCGAGGTAAGCGGAGCCGTTTAATAACTTCTCAACAATCTCCTGACAGATCGGCATTTTAAAAAAAGAAAAAGAAAGAAGACGCTTCGGGTCACCTAACGCTTTCCCGACCGACAGAAAAACAGAGTCCGTGTGTTCCCACCGTCACCAAAATTAACTTACCGATTTCTGACCAGCAAGTCCGCGTCTCCGGGTGTCGGAACGGCCACGGTTTGCGTAGAAACGGCCTCTCTGAAATTCGGGCTGAGCTTGGTGACTACCAGCTTTTTCATACTGCTCGCTATGGAGGATCCTTTAAAATCCATGAAGTGCGCCGAGTAGGACATATCTACGATGAACCGCCTCGCAGCCAGATGAACTCCTGAAAGTGTGTCGGTGCCTCTGCGCCCCCCGTAGATTAGCGGTAGTGCTCTCCTGCAGTTTCTCGCCAACAGCGCCCTGGACATGATTCCGAAATGTGACAAAGTTCACGACCAAACTTGACGCGTGCTCGTGCCTGTGATTAGGTCGATCAGGTGCCATTAGCCTGCACCACAAGCCTCCCCTCTGCACACGCAGGGCGTGCAGGCCAGGCCCGGGCCAGGCTGAGCCGAGCCAAACGAGCTTTTAGACCAAAAATTAAAAAAAAAAAAAAAAAAACAGGGGGGGAGAAAAAAAGCGCGATGCGTCGTAGCGTGACTCTTACGCAAAGCAAACAAGCGGGGGATCGAGTTTAGGATTAAAACATTGCACTGGTGCAGCCCCAGCGTGGAGCACAGCAGCGCCTCAGACTTGTCGTCGGGAGTCCCTCCCCTTCCCGGACACAACACTCACTTCCTACTAAGGTGAAACAAATCAATCCTCGTCTCCCCACACAGGCTATCCTCAGCCGTTTCACTCCCACGAAAAGAACGCCAACCCATCGGATCTTTTCCCAACACCTACAAATAACAACAAAAATCACGGTCCGAGCGTGCACTACGACTGCGCTCCCGTTTGACTGGCGCCTTTCCCCTCTTTTCTTCCTAATACTAAATGTTTTGAGCGTCATAGGGAGATGTTTCTGCCCACACTACACCTGTAACCAAAAAGCTCCCACAGGCGATTTGTGAAAGTGTCTTGTTTTCATCTCATTCCATTATTTGTTTCTTTATTTATTTTGCCTGCTCCTTCCATGCAGCTGTGTTATCGTCTGTTGTCATCTGACTGTCATTTTTCTGGAAGGATCTATTCTTAACAGAGCTGCCGGAGCGCACTGGGGGACATTAAAGCGTCAGCGGGAGCAAGAGTCGTGCCCTAACTCGTGCCGTGTCACTACCAGGCGATCTTAAGATGTCACCTGGGTTGCAAAAAGCTCAGACTTAAGTAGTGAGCCTTGTTGTTTTTGATAGTTTGCAAGAGGCGTTGGGATAAGTTTGGTTTTGTTAGCTGATCTCGCAGTAAGTTTTGAGAGGATCACATCCTTTTGTCGGAGGTTTGGCTTCTTTTTTAAGCAAAGGGAGAAGGAGAGAGAGAGAGAGAGAGAGAGAGAGAGAGGGGGAAAACAAGACAATTAAAAAGATTGACAGGTAGGCTCCTCTGTCAGGGGTGACGCTTGTGGAGAGGGGAGGAGTAAAAATGTAGCAGGAAAAGCCACTCGATGCGTCTGTCTATCAGTTGAGACTGTCTGAAACAGCTTCTGGATCCGCCGCGTTCCCATTTTTTTCTTTTTTTTGAGAGACCGCGGATCAGTCCCTGGAGTTTTTGCCCCCCGTCTTGTTTTTTTTTTTTGGCTTTTTCAAGAGACAAATATTTTAGTCCATGTCGATCTGATCTGTTGTTGGCGAAGCTTGGATGCGCCTGCGTCTTGTTTCCCCTCTCTCTCAAGTGATATCCTCTCCACCGCATCAACCAACCCTCCAAAAAAAAAAAACAAAAAAAAAAAACGACTCTGTCCAACATGCGATCAGATGAGCGGTGAAAATCATTTTCACGACTCTTAAAACGTAAGTACAAGAGAAAGCCTACTCGTCTCCATTTATTTTATTTAATTATTTTTCCCCTTCTGTGGGAGAGAAAGAGGGCAGAAGGGGAGGGAGGAAAAAAGTCTCCGCCGGACTGGTGAGGCTGGATCCGGGCTGAGGTGGCGTGGTGGTGACGGGATTGACATTAACCCATCTAATGCCTGTCTATCTCTCTTCTCCTTTCCCATTCTCTCTCTTTCAGGTCTGTGGCAAAAGAACGGAAGGAAACACAAGGATACATTACTTATCAGAGGTGTGCACTCGGGACTTATTTGTTTGGTTACCGCCAGAAATCTCTTTCTTTTCTTTTTTCTTTTTAGTTTTGGTGTGCGTAAAAGGCGCAGCAAACTATCGTCCCCCTCCAAACAGCACTGGAGATTAGGGGGATTTTTTTTGTTTTTCCCCCAAAGGGAGTGAACCGAAAACTTGGGTTTCAAGGTGCTGTTTTTTTGCTTCTTTTCGTACTCTGCCACGAGAGAGATGAAGGAAGATGATTTTTAATGGACGTGAAGGTGTCAGGAGCTGGCCGAATCCCTTCGTAATTTTTGAGCTCAGTCTCGCTGAAGCCGACCCAGCTATCACATCCAAAAAAGAGCAGCCGGTTTGAAGAGACATTCTCAGCTCAGAGATCAACAACACCCCTCCCCCGAAAAACGGGATGATTTTTCAAAACTGATAAGACTCCATTTGTTTGTAATTCCTGCATGAGAAGCACCGTGGAACGCGACGGTCACTATGCCGAGGAGAAAGCAGCAAGAGCCGCGGCGATCAGCAGGTATAACCCGCCCCTCCATTACGACCATTTCCCATCCCAGTAACCAACTAGTTTTTATTTCCAAGTGCCAATTGGAAGTCTCTCCTTCCACCTTTTTTTCCTTTAGCAGTACTGCATGCTGCGATTTATTACTATTATTATTATTATTTTACAACTTATGGTTTAAATCAATTTATTTGTGTTAATAACACAGCGCACAACTCACCCCTGGACACACTGTTGTGTTTAAAATGTATCTAATTGCGCAAATGACGCACGTATCTGCGCAATGCCACTTTGAGATTTTTTTTTTAAATCCTCCGGTGCCAGGAAAGTTCTATTAAGAATGGTGAGATAAACTAAATGGCATGTTATGGGGATAAAAGGGAGTTTTTGAGGTTCAAGAGTGAGTAATGATGAATAATTGACTGGGAAAGAAAGGGGGGAGAAAAACGGGCGAGAGCTGGTTTTTCCTTTCTTTTTTATTTTATTAGAGGATTGCCACCCTTGATTTGATGCGTGATTGATCGTCTGTCATGTGGCAGTCTTTGATCTATTCATCCCTGATAAACATCAATAAATCCCTCCATGAAGACAAGCATGCTTCTGGTAGCCACTCAAATGCACAACCCTGCTTTTAACCAGGAACTGAAAAGCAAAAACAAAAAGGAAGAAAAAGAAAAAAGGATAAAGAAGAAAGTTGGGAATTGTGGTTGAAAAAAATCACCTTATTACTTCAAATGTGTATGCACAGAAAGCAGATGAAAGCACCGTGTGTATGTTCAATTGCAAGAAATTCCCCAACACTCTTTAAAAAGAACAGGTATTTGAATTCTCCTCCTCTTCCTATATATTCTTAGATGAAAATATGGAAGGTTCTGGCTGTCCTCGTCCGAAATATTCCTCCCTTATTCGCTGCAAGAATCAGCCCACAGTTGAGGTCCACTGCTGGATATGATTTTTATAATGTGACCAACTGATAAAACCAGGTGTTGGCAGAGGACCGACAAGGTTGACTTCTAGTGGTTTGGATGTGGACTCCCCCTTTTTCCTCTTGTCTCCCTGCAGCCTTTAAACAAATGTAAATGAGTGACAGGGGTTTCTACCTCTGTGCTAATGAGGCCGAGCCTTTGAAGTTAGGCATTAACAACTGGAGTGAACAAAAGACAGTTACAGAATTTTAAAGAGATTTTGAAATATGAGGTGCAAAGCGGGTCGAACAGGAGGGCCAGCCGACGAAGACTTTGAACTCAGCAGGTTTTATCATTTTAAACAGAGAGCTTGCGATGATGAAGATGATGGTGGTGGTGATGATGAGGATGAGGAGGAGGATGAGATGGAGTGTAGGATGGATGAACATTCAACCGGTGCTCGCTGTTAACTTCGCCTTTTCTCGTTTGCCTTTGTGGCAACCTGTAATATGTTTTCTGGCCCACACCGCGAAGCAAGAATCGAGTTTTATATACCGAGTCTCGCTGTACCTTTCTGCATTTGTGTGTGTGAGACGGAGAGAACAGTCACCGCTGTTGCTTTGGCAAAATATCCCCCTGGAAAAGGTTGGCCACGATGGGAGCAGAGGGACTCCCGTTAGGTTTCTGCATGTAGATGGAGGCATGAAAAACATGACATCTCTGTGACCCCTCCCTTCCCCTCCTTTCTCCTGCCACACACACACCACACACACATACACACAGACCATTGATCCATTACAACGTCCACTGAGTGCCATGCACATCATGGGTTGTAATGGTCAATCACAGCTTGGCAAACGGGATGTTTTCCATTCTTTCACGAACACGATGGCCGGTCAGAGATAACGCCCTCCACTCCACGCTTCCAGAAGCGACTGACTAAAACGCAATCACGCTGATACGCATGCACACACCGACTTACACACCAGGCTAGCCCGATGCTCCACTGGGAGCTCGTACTGACCTGTGGCTTCCTCTGTGTGCTACTGCTCAAAGAGGAAATAGCTCATAGTGGGACTAGGCATGGAAATCAGGAGTCAGACAATTAAAACAACAATAGCAGACTTGTGTGGACGGCCTATTTTTTTCATTCTCACTTTGTAAAGCTTGTGGAGACTTTTATTAGGTGCGTTATGTTTCGAGGCCGCACCATGCAAAGTTATATTTTGCAAATCAGAAACAGCAAAAGATTTTCTTAACAGTTTCGTTTCTTTGAGTTACATAATCAGATGTGCACATTTCCCTGTTAATTTTCATACACAGTGCACTTCTTAGGCAGCTTCTTGGCAAAGAGCTGAATTTTCAGGTTGCTTGAGCTTCCCATGTTAAAACTTTTCTTTGATCAGGTTGTTAATCGATTGCTTTATTTTGCAGTAAATTTTACAATTTCCGCAATTTTTTTTTAAACAATAATTTTTGTGTTTTGTTTTGCTTTTAAGAAAATTATCACAGGATTTCTTAGGATCATTTTGAAGTATCTGCGTGTGTGTGTGTGTGTGTGTGTGTGTGTGTGTGTGTGCGTGTGTGTGTGTGTGACACTGTTGTTTAGATGACAAAAAACCCCATTAATGACATATTCCACCGATGGAATGAAAACGCAGCACTCGTTGTCACGCTTCCTGTTGCTTTATAATTTTCATCAGGAAATTCACACGCAGGAATTCCAGAACATGGAAACCAAGATGTGAAGAAACTTTGCAAACCTGAATCAGCAAGTTTGTGAAAATATATATATACACACACACCCTGGTGTTCTTGTTTGTGCAAAGATGGATGTTGTGCATTACTACGTGCACCTCGTACAGTCGATGCCTTGATTTAAAGGTAAAGAGGCCAGGAGGAAAAACCAAAAAAAGTAAAGGACAGAAAGCAGTGACGCCGCCTTTCATGGTAGGCAGGCTTGCATAGTCTTACATGAGGAAGACGAGGGAAAAGAGACGACGAGATAGTCGCTCTTGTTCCGTTGCATGATGGTTAATTATAAGAGAAACGGTGTGTGTGTGTATAGAGTGTGGAAGGGGTGGTGGTGGTGGGGGTAAGGTTGCATCCCGTTGGCTTCATTAGAGAGAGCCCTAATTATCTGTGGAGCTGATGGATTTGTGACAGGCCCTAACGATTAATGCTGACAAATTCAGTAAGGTGTCAAGTCCACAGCTGCCTTGATGTAATCAAGTTGATATTATACAGTCCCCATAGCCCCTAGTGCAGCACCAACTCAATTTGCCTGTGCAGGTGACAAATGGACTTTGCTACCTGACTAATCACATCAGGAGACAATGCCAGTTAATGACCTCAGTAAGGCCCCCCCCCC